TGACTCCCCCTCTTCTTGCTTGAAAGCCTGGCTCCTATCATCCTCAAGGGCTCCCTTGCCAGTCCTCTTGTCCGGCCTGGGCCCAAGGACAGGCCTGAGCAGTGGGTCAGAGAACCAGGACTCAGGAGCCACCAGTCAGACCCAGAGGGTGAGCCTAGCTCTGGCCTGGAAGCCACTTCTGAAGGAGGGGACCATGGCATTTCCTCTGAGCTCCCACACCCACTGTGGCTTCTGTGCCATTGTCTGTTTGGGGCTGGCCTGCTCCTTTTCTTGTCAGGACGCCCAGTACCTGGAACACAGGTTCAGGATGTGTTTGGTGTTTGAAGACTGAATCCATAATATGGAGAGCTGGTGGTATACCCTAGTGATGAGCCTGCAGTCTCTGAAAACATGCAGCTTGAGTTCAAATCCTGACACCACTACTTTCTGAGAAAATGATAGTATGTACTCACAGCTAACCTTGTTTTTGTTTTGTTTTGAGACAAGATCTCGTTCTGTGGCTCAGGCTGGAGTGCAGTGGCATGACCACAGCTCACTGCAGCCTCGACCTTCTGGGCTCAATCCGTCCTCCCACCTCAGCCTCCTGAGTAGCTGAGACTACAGGTGCACACCGCCACCATGCCTAGCTAAATTTTTTCTAGAGATGTGGTCTTGCCATGTTGCCTAGGCTGGTCTTGAACTCCTGGGCTCAAGCCATCCTTCCACCTAGGCCTACCAAAGTGCAGGAATTACAGGTGTGAGCCACCACACCAGGCCCATAGCTAACATTAATGGAGCACCTACCATGTTCCAGGGCTCTGCTTTGTAATTGTTGTTAATGCTGTCACTGATAAGAATATCCTAGAAGGTGAGTTTTGTTATCATTGCTCTCATTTTACAGAGAGGTTAAATGATTTGACTGAGGTCACACTGCCCAGGGGAATGGTAAAGGGGCATTTGTATTTACTGAGGATGAGTGCTTCATCAGGAAGGGGCCTTTAAGCCACTCAGCAAAGCTTCTGTTACAGGGTACCAGGGCCTCTGCCTGTGCTATCAAGCCACTCTTTAAACAATGTTAAACTTTACCTGAGCGCTGTGCTCCTGAAAAACAGCAATGGTCCAGAAATCCCAACTTTTTGTTTTCTGAAGTCTGCCTACCTTTTCTGTTCAGGGAAATGGCTTAGGAAAACAAGCCACCCTTCCCCATATGACTCAGATAAGACGTAGTCCCCTCTTTCTAGTGTCTCCTTTAAGACTGGAGGATGACTAGCTTGCTGGCCTGTGATCTTTCCCCTTTTGCTGGAACCTGCTGACAAGGCCAAGGCCAAGGCCCCTCCCACTTCCCATTCTTTGTCTCATGGTTGATTAGCTGAGATGAGAACTGTGTGTCCTCTCTGAAACTAGCTAGACACAGAGATGAACATTTCCTCTTCAGTGGACTAATGGAGACATCCCCTATTTGTAAGACAATCCCCACTATACATCCCTCCTCCTGTAACCTGTCTCCTCACCCCTATAAAAGTCAAAGGCAAATCCATCCTGCCCAGACACTCTGATCTTGGGATCTGGGGTGCCCTCCTTATTGCAATAGCATGAATAATACCATCCCCCCAATTCTTCCGTGTATTTTGTCTTTGACCCTTTCCACTGTGCTGTTTTCCACCTAAGGCTCTGAGCTGGGTAAGAGCCCTGTGACCTTGGAGTACTTCTCAAGCATCTCCATACCTCGGGTTTAAAACGGATGCTCACAGGCGTTATGTCCTCAGGTTGTGAGATAAAAGGAGACGACGCCAGGGAAACGCTTGGTCGCTTGGCACTGTGCCCTGCAGCGTGAGCGCTCCAGAAATGTCAACCATTGTGAGTCCAGGAGAGGAGAGTGGCGCTCAGAGAGGGGACGGGACTTGCCCGGAGACTCACAGCGGGAGGAAGTGGGAATAGGGCACACGTCTGGTGACCTCCGCCCCCAGCTTTGGGAGTGCCCTGTGACCCCCTCATCCCACCTTTGGATCACGAGCTGGGGTCGGTGGGACGGTGGCGGGGGGCATACTCCTCGATCCTGCACTCCCCGCCGCCAGCCTTTGATTGTGGTGAGCAGCGAGTCGCGGAGCAAATTAACTTTTTGCACACTTCATTATGCGCCGCCCCGCGTCCCCCGGGGCCGCGGCCCCCGCCCCTGCCCCGCGCCGACAACTTGATTGGGCAATTAATCTTCGCGCCCCCCGCACCCCCTCCCGGCCCCGGGCCTTTGTGCACCCGAGCGTGGGCCGTGGGCGCCCGCCCGGCCGCCCGGTCTGCTCGCGCAGATAAGGCGCCCCTAGCCGCGCTGCCCCGCCTTTGTCAGGGCGCCGGGAGGCCCGGCCGCCGCGCTGCCGTCTCGCACCCCATCCGCGCGCCCCCGCCCCTTGGCTCGGTCCATCTGTTTGAGCTTCACAATCCTCCAGCGGCCGGGGGCTGGGGGAGGGGTCTCGCTCTTGGGCAGGGAGCCAGCACCCCCCTCCCCCCGGCATCCCCACGTGTGACAAGTGACCCCCCCCACCCAGCCCCCAGACACGCGCGCGCGCACACTCACACGCGGGGCCGCCCTGTTAAGCAGTGCGGTATTAATTAAGAAGGTTGGGGGAAGCACAGCAGCAGTTTGAAGAATTGTTAGGCGGAGGGTTCCCAGCGGTGTCCAGAAAAGAGGGGGACCCTGCCACCCATCTCGTACCCCAGGTGCTTAACGCCTGGTTATTGGCTTGGGAGGCTACAGGCTCCAATGGCTGGGGGGTGGGGGTTGGGGAGGTGGGAGGTGGGAGGGAGAGGCCTGGGAATTTGCCTGACAGTATCTCTTTGTGCATTTTTCTGGGATTTTGCCAGCAGTTGACCCAGCCTCAAAAAGGTAGCCTGTGATTCAGGTAATATTGAAAACCAGAGGCCTTTAGGGAGGGTAAATCTGGGCCTATTTTAGAGGCCAATAGCGTGGTGGTTCAGAAAGGGCTTCCAGAAGTGCTCCCTACTTACCGTTGAGGATGTGCGTCAGGTAACCACCCTGCGCCCCAGGGCGGTGGAGGTGATGGGCTGAGGCGGGCGCAGTGCTCACAGGTGCTGGTTCTTGCTGTTTTCTGTGATTTTCCTTTGAGGGGCACCAGGAAAACAAAAAACGGATGGTGCTGGAAAGAGGCCCTTGAGTTTCATCTCACAGCTGGCAGTAGGGTGAAAGTGGTGCTTGGCAAAAAACCTGTGGTCTGTGCTGAGCTTGGGGCTGGGTGTGTGTGTGTGTGTGTGTGTGTGTGTGTGTGTGTGTCTATGGTCTTTAAGAAGTGTCTTCATCAGCATGTGACTTGTGTGAGTTTTTGGGTGGAGAAGGCACAGCCTTCACTAGTTTCTACAAGAAGGGTGTGATCCAGTGTGCGAAAAATCCCCGTGTGCAGGGCTGGGAAATCAGCTTCATCTCTTCGGTCCAAGAATAGCATGGATGGCACGCTTATTGTGTGTGGAGTCCACAGCAGCATCCCTAGGTGCTAGGGACAACCGTGAGCAGAGCAGAGTTGTTGGCTCCCTTCACAGACTCGCAGTCTCCTTCGGAAGATGAATGAGAAATAAAATAAACATGTAAGACATGAGATAGGTCACTAGGTGATATGAGCTTTAGATAAAAACAAAGCAGGGCACCTGATTAGGAGGGTGGACCCTATTTGCCAGACCCCTACCCTCCTCCCTATTACAGTGTATCATTGCCTGGGCAGGAGAGGGCCACACTCTAGGTCTAGGGACCTAGGGCCCTAAGTAGCCTCATTTCCCACCCACTAAGACCCAGCCTCCAGCCAGTTCTGTTGCATGGGGCAGGGTCCCTGGGATGATTGGCAGGCCTCAGACTGCTGCAACCTCTGCCCCTAGCCCTGAGGTGGTGGTGGTAGTGGTTCCCTCTGATAATGACATACTCCAGTCTTGCATGACCACAATGCCTCATGAGCCCACAGTCCAGAAGGGGCCCGGTGAGCAGGAGCTGAATTAAAATAGATAAATACAGCCTTCCTTCCCCCATTCCTGCTCCTCCCCCCTTACTCCCCTCATTCCTGCCACTCCTGAAGCCATGGGTGAATAGTTTCTCAGTCTCTGCCTTGCTGAGCTGGGTTAGTTGGGTTAGCTGGATGGACATCTCCTTATGGATACCAGAGTATGAGACACCCAGAACTAGCAGGTGGGATTTTAGAAAGTGCTGTTTGGCTCCGACCAACCACTACTCCCACCCCATGCATAGCAGGGTTAGTTTCCTCATCAACTCTGGTTTCTGATTCTTATGTTCTGCCCCTAAACATCCCATATTCTAACATTGTAGTCTTCTGACTTTTTAGAATTTTCACATCCTATGCTTCTTACACGAATATTGTGGAGTTCTGATTTCTGCCCTTATGTTCTAGATTCTGAGTCTTCAGTATTAATTTTGTTGGGGTCTACCCATTCAAATAACAATAGAGAAAGACTATATGCATAATACTAGTCATTACAGTAGCAATTAACATCGTTTTGACCTTGGTTTTATTTAACAGTGTTATTTTTTGAGAATTTTCTAAGTGCCAGACACCACTCTAGACAGCATACAAATAAATAGCTAAAAATAAATAAATAAATGTTATTTTAGAAAGTGAATTAAAATTGATAGTCAAGGCAGGACTCACTAAGAAAGTGACAGTATTTTCTTTCTACTTCTTTTAGTTATTGAGATTTGAAATCTCAGTTGATGAGGTGGATTTATTTCTCCTTGCAGGTCATTCAGTTTTTCCTTCATGTATTTTGAATCTCTGCTATTGGGGGCATAAATATTTAGAATTGTCATATGCTCATGATTAACTGACTTTTTTTTTTTTTTTTTGAGATGGAGAGTCTCGCTCTGTTGCCCAGGCTGGAGTGCAGTGGCAGAATCTCAACTCACTGCAACCTCTGCCTCCTGGGCTTAAGTGATTCTCCTGCCTCAGCCTCCTAAGTAGCTGGGATTATAGGTGCTCACCATCATGCCCAGCTAATTTTTGTATTTTTAGTAGAGATGGGGTTTCACCATGTTAGTCAGATTGGTCTCGAACTCCTGACCTCGTGATCCACCTGCCTTGGCTTCCCAAAGTGCTGGGATTACAGACGTGAGCCACCGCACCCAGCCTTAACCTTTTTAATCATTATAAAATGACCTTATCTTGTCTGGTAATATTCTTTGCTGTGAAACAAACATTGTCTGATATTAAACTTAGCTACTCTTCCAGGGTTATTTTGATTACTGTTAGTTTACATCTTTGTACTTTTAACTTGTGTGTTTATACTTAAGGTGTGCTGTTTTGAAGGTTGGGTCTTATTTTTTAAAAACAAAACCAATATTTGGGTCTTACTTAAAAAAAAAAAAATCCAATCTGACAATCTCTGCTTTTTAATTGAGGGTATTTAGACCATTTACATTTAATGTGATCATTGACATGGTTAGATTTAAGTCTATCATCTTGCTGTTTGTTTCATTTTTGTCCCATCTGTTCTTTGCTTGCTTTTTCTTCTTTTTCTGTCTTCTTTTGTATTAGCTGAGTCTTTTTTTATTATTTCATTTTAACTCCTCTTTTTTAAATTATATCGTTTTACCTCCTTTGTTGGTTTATTAACTGTAATTTTTTGTTTGTTATCTTAGTAGTTACATTAGGCCTTACAAGGCTGGGTGCGGTGGCTCACACCTGTAATCCCAGAACTTTGGGAGGCTGAGGTGGGCGGATCACCTGAGGTCAGGAGTTTGAGACCAGCCTGGCCAACATAGTGAACCCCTGCCTCTACTAAAAATACAAAAATTAGCCAGGTATGGTGGTGTACACTTATAGTCCCAGCTACTCAGGAGGCTGAGGCAGGAGAATTGCTTGAACCTGGGAGGTGGAGGTTGTAGTGAGCTGAGATAGAACCACTACACTCCAGCCTGGGTGACAGAACAAGACTCCATTTCAAAAAAAAAAAAAAAAATCATGTATTTTCATTTCCTTCCTGGCCTTTTTGCTGTTGTTGTGATACATACATATATGTGACAGACTCCACAAAATGTTAGTATTTTTGTTAAAATGCTAAGTTATCTTTTTTTAAATTAAATAATCAGAAAAAAAATGTATGTATTTAACTCATGTAGTTAACATTTCTGGTGACCTCCATTCCCTTATGTAGATCCAGATTTCCATCTGGTATCATTTTCCTTCTGCCTCAAGGATTTCCTTTATCACTTCTTATAGTGCACATCTGTTGGTGACAAATTCATTCAGCTTTTGTATGTCTGAAAACATCTTTATTTCATCTTCATTTTAAAAAGATATTTTAACTGGGTATAGAATTCTAGATTGGCAGGTTTTTTCTTTTATTAGCTTAAAAGATGTTGCTTCACTATTTTCTCCCTTAAATTGTGTCCAACAAGAACTCTGCCATTATCCTTGTTTCTCTATACTTTACAAGCCTTTTCTTTCTCTGACTGTTTTTATTTTTTATTTTTATTTTTATTTTAAATTACTGTTTGTCATTGGTTTTGAGCAATTTGCTCATGATGGGTAATTTCCTTCTTGTTTCTTGTGCTTGAGGTTCGTTAAGCTTCTGGGTCTGTGAGTTTATAGTTTATATCAGATATGAAATATTCTTAGCCATTAATTTTCTATTTCCTCTCCTAATATATGTGTCAAAGACACATATATTAGGCTTCTTGCAGTTGTTCCATAGCTCCTAATACTCTTGCTTTTTTGGATTTTCTTTTTCTCTGAGTCCTTAATTTTGGGTCGTTTCTATTTGCTATGTCTTAAAATTCTCTAATCTTTTCTTCTGTCACATTGCATATTTTTCATTTCAGACATTGTAGTTATCATTTCTAGAAGTTCGGTTTGGGTCATTTTATATCTTCCAAGTCTCTCCTTAACTTTTGAACATGCAGACACATGAAATACAATTTGAATACTTATTTTAATGTTCTTATCTGCTACTTTTGTATCAGTTCTGGGTCAGTTTCGAATGATTGATTATTATTCTCACATGAACCATGTTTTCTTGCTTATTTGCATGCAGGATAAACTTTGGATGCCAGACATTGTGGATATTACCCTTGTTGGGTGCTGTACACTTTTATATTTCTACAAATCTCCCTCAGTTTTGCTCTAAGATGCAATTAAGTTACTTGGAAACAGTTTTATCTTTTCTAGTCTTGCTTTTATAATTTGTTCGGTGGGTCCAGAGCAGTGCTCTCTGTTGAGGGCTAGTTACCTACCACTGTTGAGAAAAGACCTTCCTGAGTACTCTACCCAGTACCCCAGAAATTATGAGGGTTTTTCTGTTTATTAATATTTCTGGTTTTGTGTGAGTGCTGAGCACTGTTCTCTGATCTTATCAGATGATTTCCCCCCCTACTTCAGTGTAGTTTTATCATACAAAAGCACCAACCAGTACTCAGTCTAATACTCAAGGGGGACTTTCTTCATATCTCTGGAATAGTCTCTCTGTGCAACTCTCTCCTCTCAATACTCTGTCTTGCAAACTCTGCCCTCTTTGTCCTTCCTGGACTCTCAGCTCTATTTCCTTAACTCAGGAAGCCTGCTGGGTGCTGCCTGGGATCCTCCTTCCTGCACTAGGATCTGAAAACTCTCGCCGAGTGGTAAACTGAGCCATGATAGGGCTCATCTTGTTTATTTCCCACTTCTCAGGGATCATGATCCTTTATTGCCTGTTGCCTAGAGTCTTAAAAACTATAGTTTCACATATTTTGCCTGGTTTGATTTGTTTGTTTGATTGTTTCAAGCAGGAGAGTAAATTCAGTTTCTGATACTCCATCTTGGGTGGAAGCAAATATGAGAAGGTGACATTTGAACACAAACTTGAAGGAGTTGATGGAGTGAACCAAGAGGATATGGGAGCGGGGAGAGGAAGAAGATTGTAGGCAGTGTGAACAGCAAGTACAAAGGTCTTCTGTGTGTACAGCTGAGAGTGTGGGTAGTGTGTTTGAGGAAAGAAGGGAGCAAGTATGGCTGGAGCAGAGAGTTATGTGGGGAAAGTGGGGAGAGGAAGGGATGAGGTGCCAGCTTGTGTAGGACCTTGCAGGCCATGATGAGGATTTTGGCTTTTACACCAAATGAAATGGGAGCCATGGGAGGATTTTGAGCAGAGGGAGGACATCTTTTACAGGATCTCTGCATCGATTGGAATAACTGAAAGAGACAAGAGGGCAAGGGAGAAAGCCAGAGACTTGCTGGGAACCGGTGCACTAAGCCAGGTGAATGCTGGTGACTCAGACACATGAAAGGACACACTATTAAGGGGGTGAATAATTAGGAGCGGGGATGAAGGAGGCTTCTGGGGTGCTGTCAGTGTCCTGTATCTTGATCTGGGGGAGGTTACATCATCTGCTCACTGTGTGAAGATTCATTGAGCTGGATGTACACTTCTAAATTGTGTTCACAATTGAATTGAATACATGAATATATTACTATATAAATATACTATATATGTATAAAACTTAAAAAACAAAGTAGGGAGATGAAGGTGGCTTGGACTAGACTGTTATCAGTGGAGGTGGGAAGAAATGTGTGCATTCTAGATCTCTTTTATAGGTAGGTCCAACAAGATTTGCAAACAGATCTAATGTTAGATGTGAAGAAAGAGAATAGTCCAGGATAATGTCAAGTTCTCTGGCTGAGCTACAGCAAAGACTGAGGGCCTGCTGTGCACCAGAGTTTGGGTTAAGCTCTATTAACTTATTTAATCTTCATGGCAATTCTAGGAAGTAAGTCTGGCAAGTGCCATTTCCGAGGTTTTTGTGGGGCTACTGGGAGCCTTTCCACCAGAAGTGTAGTTTGTGTGATGGATTCCAGAGGTAGTGGTGGCCACCTTTGTCTCCATGAGGTTAGAGGCTGCCTGAGAGTGAAGCCTACAAGGAAGAAATCAAAGCCATGATAGAGAGAGAGACAGGATCCTCACAGTAACATGTCAACACCTGGATTCAGCCATACCTGAAGCCAGTGCCCTGGGTTTCTCAGTTATATAAATTAATAATTCATTTTTTTTCTTTCTTTCACTTCTAACTGAAGAGTCCAGACTGATATAACTTCTTCAGATGTGTCCCCTGTCTGCATCATCCCATGGACCGTCAACAGCAGCTACATCCTCTCCTTACCGTTGCTTTCTTTTTTTGAGACAAGGTCTTTTTCTGTTATCCAGACTGGAGTGCAGAGGCGTAATCACAGCTCACTGCAGCCTTGATCTCCTGGGCAAAGCAGTCCTTCTGCCTCAGCCTCCTAAGTAGCTGGGTCTACAGGTGTGTGCCATCATGGCCAGCTATTTTTTGTTTTTTTCTTGTAGAGACGGGGTCTAACTATGCTGTCTAGGATGGTCGTGAACTCTTGGATTCAAGCAATCTTCCTGCCTTGGCCTCCCAAAGTACTGGGATTACAGGCATGAGCCACCGTGTTTGGCTGTCCTTACCATTTCTAATGTCTGCTCTGCACTTTCTCTCTCTGGACCTTTGCTCCTACAGGTCCTCCTTTCCAGAATGCCTTTCCTCCCTTACCTTCTGCCCTCACATCAAAACCAGCCTCCTACTCAAAGTCATCCTGACTCCACCAGCTGAAAGATGGAGCTGGCAGAGTGCTTAGGTACCAATCCATTTTACAGGTGGGAATACCAAGGTCACTGTGAGACAGGGCAGATTTGTGGTCAAGACCCGCGTTCTGACTCTCTGAGACTCCTTCTGTGATCCTCCGGGACAGCCTTTTCTGTGCCCTCCCTTGCATGGGGTTGAACAGCACTTTTCACAACAATTTATACTCTCCCATACCCCAACCCTTGCACATGCTGTTTCCTTAGTCTGGGATGCCCTATTCCATTCTGTCCTTCCAGAAAGGGTACCACTTGAACTTGGAGATTCAACTCAAGGATCAGGCTTCCAAAAGCCCTCTCTTTTTCCCAGGGTGGCTCAGTGTCCTGCCTGGTACTCCCGCAGTACTGCCTCTGGTACCTCCATGAACCTGTTTATCCATTTGTTTTTTAGGTGTCTGTTTCCTGTTTGTCTTA